GGAGCGTTGAGACTCTTCCACTGGGTTTGCAACGCAACTGTTGACGCTCATGTCCATTTTGCTTGTGGGTTTGGGAGGGGAGACAGTTCAGTTAAGAGAGAATGAGGAACATAAAGTGAACCACTGTGGCCGGTCTGAGAGGTAATCTCATACTGGGTACTGTGACACTTCAATACAGACATCGTCGTCTACATCTGCGGCATTCAGTTCATTTGATTTACTGGAGTATCATCCTGTTCCAAGGTGTAAAACAAGCACATATGCAAAATCAGCCCACTACGTATTAGCACTGCATGAAACCATATCAATGTAACTACACTTCATCTCACAATACATTCTGCAACATTTGCATATACTCCTATTAAGTAGTAAAAGGTCGATTGCAAGACGCTCGCCAGAATTATATGGTAACACGATAGCAACTAGTATTGAAACGAGGTGGGAATGTTTGGCTCATTGAGCGGATATAAAATTGTTACCTTGGTGGTACTTGTAATACTAACTCGTTGATTCGTATGAAAGCGCAGATTGGTATTATTAGTATTGATGCCTTGTTTTCCCCGGTTGTTGGAGCTTGATGATAGTAACTTCAATTCAGGGAAATACCAGTTGATTCCCACTGAGAGCACTACTACTACGTACTTACTTAGTACTCCCCGTCGCTGTTCTGAATTTAATATATATCGCCCCACTGGCAGACTCTGGGGAAATTATGCGAACGGATCAGCGTGACTACCCACCAGACGTTTCAGAATTTGATGTTCATCAAGGAAATACCCATTCTGCGCCTACTTGGACCGTTGTAAGGATGTTGTGAAACAGGTGGTCATACTGCTTACTGGGGTGAGTTGGAATTCCGGAGCAGACCAGCGGAAAGGTAAGCAGCCGGCCGATCCAAACCGTGGAATTTCTGGGGTGTTCCGCCCACAGTGACGAACTGCCAACCAACCGACGCAATTGCTCGGCGCCGTGGATTGTTCCATTCCTCAGATTTAGGGGCTATGATTCCACCATGCGAACCGATGTTTCATGATTGCCCGTTTTTGCCAGCAATTCCGGTGTCGCTCGATTACTCGGGTTTACGTTCGACTAATTGGGGCAGCCCCGCGGAGCGAGCTAGTCGGTGGGAACGCTGGGACCCTGACCGGCTTGTCCGCGCTGAGCTTCTGGAGCCTTTGACGGACGAACTCAACGTCCCTCCCGATGCCGACTGTGAAATTACAAGATGCAGAAAGCGAGGACTGGGCCAGGTGCCGGCGTGAAGCCGCGCAAGGATGTTCTGGCTTCACTCAAGATGGCCTCGATGGAGGAAATCTCCAGGGCCATTCTTCCAGCAGGTATGTCCCAACTATGAATACCGAACAAGAAAGGACGAACGGGGAGATGGATCGCATTCACTGCAGGGCATACTAACAATGACCAGAGATCATGTCCTCAATCCTTGATTACCTTTCCCCCGTCGATCTCATACGAGTAGCCCGGTCTTCCAAACTCCTGCGCGAGATGGCATACGATGACACGCGATGGGTGCAGAAACTGAAACGGATGGGTTGTTGGGATGAGGTGGAGGCAAGAAAGCATACGGAAGAAGTGTTCGGAACTATCGCAGATGTGCGAACGGTCGAGGAGCAAGAGGTTGAGGATGCGCAAGCACCGCACGGCGAACCTGCACCCAACGTCTCACGGAGTTCCCGGGCCGATTTACAATCGATCTCTGACGGATTCGACCAGATCAATCTAACCACGTCGGCCAATGCTGATATATCGGATGGATCAGAAAATGATCCCGTCATCGGCGCTCTGAAACAAGTCAAGTCGGTTCGTGGAGAGGCCCGCCAGGAGTACGGAAAGGTACATGCAGCGCTGGCACCATACTACAATGATATCGTTACGAACGGTCCTTCTCCAGATAGCTTGCTTTTCAAGAACTACACCGATCCACAGCACCAAGCGCAGATACTGTCGCAACTACAATCCTTTTCCGAATGCGATGCAGACGAAGGCTGGCGTGGACGGCTTGAACAATTGCAGTCTGCTGTGTCGATGTTCGAAATATCGGCCATTAAGGAGTTTAGACATGGATATGAGACAGAGGATATTGATGACAGGATGCGAAAATACGCCCATGTTTTGTACACGTTGAACGGCGGAGAGGCAGCTGTTGAACTCTTCATACAGCACAACCATCTCGTTACCAGAAGATCAGATCTCGGCAAAGTCTCGGACTGCATTGATCCTTTCTCGCAACGGGTTAAACTTGAACATACACAGGCCTTCTTCACTCGGCTGAGTGTGGCCTATAACGAGGAAGTATCGATCATCAATCGTGCTTTCCCCCCGTCGATGAAAATATCGACACCGTTTATCGAAAAGGTTGGGCAGGATGTGCTCTACCCATTTCTGACTGCCATTTTTGATGAGCTACATGGTTCAAATACCGAGTCCTACTTGACTGCCGTCTCAGGAACATTTGCTCAATGCCTTAATCTCTCGGATACATTGTTGCCAATTCAGAATTTGGACGACAGTTTTGATGAATTCATGGATCATGTCATTGCTAAAGCCTATGTACCTCACATGGACTTATATCTCGCAGAGGAACTGGATCATTTCCGGAAAATATCTGAGGCGGCCGTAGGGGACTGGGATAGACAGCTATCGGAGCAGGCAGCCTCGACGGAGTCATTCTTGATGTCGAACATCAATAGGCAGGCTGATAAGCGTGACTTCTTGACCTCTTTCAAGAAGGTTATTATGGCTCCCGTCAATATTCTTCCTAGCTTTTCAGGAAACAAGGCGAACGAGCAAAAGGCACCATCGGAGCCCACCGCCAGCGACTCCTCGTCACTGAAGAGTCCCAATCGGTTCTCAACCATCGCGTCGCCCACGACGCCTCCTATTATGGAGGCGCCGACCACAGAGCTTGCGGCAAAAGCCGCGATCATGAAGTCTAAACTCGAGGGTATTCGATCTCTTTTCAGCATAGAAGTTGCTCTTAGTCTGGTTCATGCGGCAAAGTCAAGCTTGGAGCGAGCCGCGCAGTTTGTGAAGATCAGAGGCGAATATGGAGCTGCTGCAAAACAACAGTGCGAGGCGGTCTTCGTCGCCCTCGTACGCATTCTAGGAAACCGTCACTTAATCGGTGGGTTCAATAAGGCCGTGGACCACTTGTCAAACTACCGGCCGCGCGAGCAAGGAGAACGCGACCAGTCTGGCGTTGAGCCGCTGGTCACCTTTCTGGAGCTGGTGAACGTTGGTGATCTGATTCTCCAGATGATCGATGTCTTTTACGAACAGGAACTCATCGGCACCAAACTGACGGACCGCAATGATTTTCTGGACCCGGCCGTCAAGGAAAAGAAAAAGTTCGAGCAGAGCTTGGATGAACGGGTTGCTGCTGGGCTTAACAAAGGAATTGACGTTCTCATGGAAGAAGTGGACTACATTCTAGCAACAAGACAATTGGCGACCGACTTCAATCCCAGTGTCTCCACTGACCCTTATCGTAAAACGATGGACGTCAGTATCACAGAGGCTGCGGCGGCCGTGGTGGATGTGGTCTCTTCTCATACACAGATGTTGGTGGGCAGCACAGACAAGAGTATGCTGGACGTCTTCAACCAAGAGGTTGGGCTACGTCTGTTTGCTGCTCTATGCAAGCATCTGAAGCGGCAGAGGATCAGCATTGAGGGGTCACTGAAGCTCATCAGGTAGGATCATCTGTGTCTTTGAGGTTGATGGCGAAGCTGACATCTTATAGCGATATGAATCACTACTTCAAATTCATCCAGACGTTCAGGAACAACGACCTTCTCCTCTACTTCAAGGCGTTCCGGGAACTATCGCAGATCTATCTGATCGACCCCTCTGATGCCAAAGAGCTTGCCACCATCATCGCCGATGCGGACCGGTTCAATGGGATTTGGCGAGTGGAGGAAGTGTACGAGTTCGCCGAGCGACGGGCGGATTGGTACCAAGTGAAACGAGACGTCGAACGAGCCATGTATGGTATTGGCTGCAACGTTATGTGAAGAACATGTCCAGCATTACGATTATACGGTGTATATAGAGCTACGAATACCCCAAGGCTTTGCCATTTTCATGGTTAGAGAATAGACAGATGATTATATAATTTAGTAGCAGAGGAAAGAGCCACAGATTGATACTACTACCCAACCTCATACACCCAAAATCCCTCCAACATCAAGCTGACATGACCAGCGTACAACAATTCCAATCCAACCAGCCAGCCACGAAGACTGCAACAAACTACACAGTACTAGTAATCTCTTTTGCATTGAGTTATTACTAATACGTAACCCAACCAGTTGCATCATACATACAACGACTTTACCCACCCGACGGATCGCATCTCCAGGAAACTCTAAATCTATCCGGCTAATTCCTTGACATCAGTTTCCCACCCCCAAAATCCAGTCCATAAGCTCCAAGCAATGACGGTAATAAGCCAGGAGAGACATAAAGAACTGTCCACCCCGAGCCAAAGGGAAGAAGAAGCAATGTGTTTCAACCTGGAACCAAGCCATTAGCGCCACAACCACAACCACAACCACTCACCACTGCATTGTTTCAGTCTGACAATTGCTGACTGACTGCGATCCATCATTTATTATACAATCTACATTTCCGTCATGAGAAATATCCTCTCAAATACTATACTAAACTTTCTATACTCGCATAACATTATATGAGATCATCATCATCATCATGCTCCATCGTACAATCTCAAGGATACTCACCACCACGACTACCATAATCCTCCTAAGCGCCCTCCTCATCACCCTTACCGCAGCCCAACAACAACTACCAAAAGCAACAGTGATAGTCACCATCATAACAACCGCAACCGCAACAGCACCACAAACCACCACCACCACCACTACCCAAGAACCCCCCTCCTACACCTCCCCAGCTCTCTTCCAATCCTCCATCCTAGACGTCAGCAACACCTACCGCAAAGCCCACAACGCAAGCAACCTAATCTGGAACACGACATTAACTCAATACGCCCTGAACTGGGCACAGGAATGTAAATGGCAGCATTCGGTATAGTACTCTTCCCCCACCCTTTCCCCAAGATCACGTAAATACCCACTTCACAGGGACCAAAAAGCTAATAGATAATGCACATACAGAACGGCCCATACGGCGAGAACCTCGCCTTCGGGTACCCCAACGTCTCGTCCGCCGTAGCCGCCTGGGGCGACGAAGTACAGAAATACAATTTCCAGGAGCCGACGGGGTTCACGGAGGAGACGGGACATTTTACGCAGTTGGTGTGGAGGGAGACGACGGAGGTGGGGTGTGCAGCTATTGATTGTGGGTATAATAATACTAATGCTACTAATGATGATGGTGATGATGATAATGGGAATGGGAAGAGAAGTGAAGCGGGAGGAGGAGGTGGAGGAGGTGGGATTAATGGAACGGAGAGACCGCAGGGATGGTATGTCGTTTGTGAATACTCGCCTAGGGGTAATATCATTGGGGGGGATAAGAAGTTGGGGGATAAGGAGTTCTTTAAGATTAATGTGCAGCCGTCGAGTACTTATTCCGGGCCGTATAATACGGGGTCCGCTGGGAATGGGGCTCAGAGGGTTGAATGTATAATGGGGTTATGGTGGGTTGTGTTGGGGTGGTGGTTTGTGTTGTTGACTTTTGGATAGTTTAATTTTGGGTATTCGGTTGGGATGATATGAAGTGGTATAAACTGAACTTGAATGATTGCAGTAGTCATCATTGTCTGTCATCTCTCATTGCTACCAACATCACGCACATCAAAGTTTTCCCCTCACGCTCGGGAAAGAAATATGCAAACACAGATTCTATTCACTTTTTTTGAAATGTTCCAGACACAGGTGCCCCCACGCGCGCTGGAACCAATCCAAATGGATCACAGATGAAGTCTCACAGGGAAGAAGAGAGGATGAAGTGTGAGGGCTTCAGAGAGGATAGGTAAAGAAAAAAGGGCGAGGATATCGACAGACAAGATGCGAGATAAGGATAAAAGGAAATGAAAAAGAAAAGGAAATGGATGGAATAGAACACATTAGATACGAAGCTGGCTTCCCAATCAACCAATGACTTCCTCGTTCTCCTCGATGATCTCTTCCACAATCTCCTCCACCACTGTCTCGCCTTGGTCCTCCGACACAGCAGGGGCATCCTTGGCCTGCTTGGAAGAGTCGACGTCTTCCGGCACACCGTAGGCGTCCTTCTCCTCCGCAAGCATCTCCTTCTCCCTCCGGATCCAGGCAGTCCACTCGTTGAGCACGCGCTTGCGCGTCTCCACAACGGCTGTGTTGGCAATGTCGACAGCGTACTTGTCCTCCTCCTCGAACTCCTTCGAGTACTCGCGGAGGTTCTTGCGCACTTGCTTCTGCTCCTCCTTGCTGAGAAGAGTGGGGGGACGAGGGCGCCAGATGAACTGCTTGAACTTGTCGGTGGGGTGTTCGGCGAGGGTCTGACCGGCGAAGGTGTGAATGTTGTAGCCGTTTTCCATCTACATAATACATGTCAGTAACGCAATTGTGATAAGACACTAAGAAGGAAGAACATACCGAGTGGGTCCACACGCTAGCACTGCTGACAACGTAGCGACCCGTAGGATCCCAGTCAATATCCGTAACACCGTAGTGCTCAACGGTCTTCATTAATTGCAGGTTGGCGGCCAGATCCTTCTCGCCCTCGGGCTTCTCACCCTCAAAGTCCATATCCCAGAAGTCAATATCGAAGTTGGTCTGGGAGTGAACGGTAGCGACGACGACAAAACGTCCCTTGGGAGACCAGTAGATGGCGTTGCTGGTCTTCTTCTCAATGGTGCGGACAACCTTGAAGTTGCCGGCCGAGACACCCTTCTTTTCGGGGGCGAAGAAAGAGACGGAGGTCTTGGGGAGAACGGCGGTGCCGCTGGGGGCCTCGCCGGTGGTGATGGCGACGAAACGTCCTCCGTTGGGCTCCCAAGCAAAATTGATGACTGTATCCTTGAGACTGTCGACGACTTCAACGGGGACACCCTTCTCGCGCACGCGGAAAATCTCCAGGTTGGTGGCCATGGACTTCTTGGACTTGGAGTGACGGTCGACCTTGACACAGACGTAGGTACCTTGGGACTGCCAGTGCAGCTTGACATCCGACACGTTGAACAGGTTACGCGTACGGACGATCTCCTTCGAGGGAACGCTCATCAAAGCGACACGGGCCGGGTTGCTGCCGATTTCGGGAGTCCAGAAGCAGAGCAGCTGTTCGTACTGCTTGACACCCTCGCGGACGACGGTGGCGGGGGACCACTCGAAGTCCATAACACCATCGATCTTGACGGAAGTCTTGCCCAGCAAGTTCATCCGGGGGAGCTCGTAGATCGAGATCGACTGGTGCTGCAGCATTCTCGCGACGTACTTTTCGTCAGCGGACCACTTGAAAGCGGGCCACTGAACCTTCTTCTTGGGCTCGCCCTCAGCACTAGGGCCGGCAGTCAGATCGTGAGAGACGAAGGAACGAAGAGGCTTGCCAGTGACGATATCCCAGATGATGATGTTCTTTCCGTCTTCCTCGTAGGTCAGGACCGGGTGGCCCTCCTCCACCTGGATGGGGCGGGCGGACCAGGTGGTCAGGTAGCTCTCACCGGGCGAGAATTCGACCAGCTGAACGAAAGGATGGGGGAACTGCTTCTGCTTCGAGAAGGCGGGACCACCCCAGAGCTGGACACCCTGGGGGTGGACGGAGGCGAGGTAGGTACCCTTGGGGGACCACTGGACGAAAAGCTGAGTCCAGTGCGCGCGGTCGACGACGTTCTCCGGGGGGTTGCTCTTGTTGTTCCAGAACACACCGACCTTGTCGCCACGGTAAAGGGCGAACTGGTCACGGGCGTTGGCGTCGCCCAGCCATGAGCGGAGGTGCTCCTTCTCCTTGAAGGGTTCGATGGTGGGGGGCTTGTATTCCTCGTCGATGCGTCCTTCCCGGCCATAACGATCGATGTCCATCAACTTGTTGACGGCGAGAGTGTGCTTCTTATCGAGGGGTACACCGTGCAGTTGCTTGACGGCAGCGACGGCCTGTTCGGGGGTCTCGTACTCAACGAAGGCGAAACTGAAACGACGTGTTAATGCTTCCACAACCTTTCCCAACCGCAATCAGATTTCCTAAGTTGAAACATACCCTTCGGACATGTTCTTGTCGTTGATGGGCATGAAGACGGCATCCTCCGAAGTGTGGCCGACCGTGTTGAGCTTCCTCAACAAGAACTTGATGAGCTTTTGCCGGCTCTCCTCGGGGACGACCGGAAGTCCATCGATCACAACAAATGTGTCCAAACCCTCCTCAAGCTTCACTTCATATTGCTCCTTGAGATCTGAATGGAGAAAATCGGGCGGAGTCAGCGGCGAGGGGCACGGGGGAAACAGGGTGAGAAGAGGATGATGGGACAACAACGCGAGGCGCACTCACCGGAGAAGTCAACCTCCTCCTCCTCCTCTTCGTGGAGATCCTGCTCAGACAGGGTGTCAAAACTGGGCGCCATGGTTGCAGTCGCAGCGAACGGCGATATGGGGGGTTGAGGGTGGAGAGGGTATGATCTTGAAGATGAAAGATGCTGTTCTGGATTTTCTGCTCGTCGACCCCGATTTGGCTGATTTTAGGGCAAAAGAACAAATCCCAAACCACAAGCGCCTTCTGTGTGCGAAGACAGCTGAGTCAGGGCTGAGTCATCTCCCCATTGTCTCTGCTTGCTTTCACTTTCCGTGCGGTAAAGTGACGGTAAATGACCATTGCTCACGATACCACTAGTAAGCTGCCTATTCTTTCTCCAGCTCCACCACGTGATGGTGCTTATCTAAGCCACCCGCCCCCAGCTTCTCGCCCGGCTGATTATGTCTTCTGTAACCGACTTGTACAATCGGCTTGGACCAGCCATAACATTTCGCAATCCTCACGCATCGTCCCGCTTTCCGTTGCTGCTGCGGGTGATAGCTGCTGGTCGTTGTGGGCCGGCCGTCACGATCTCCTCGTTTACTCCCTTTTGTTTTGTCTGATCCATCTCTCTCTCCCTGTCCTACTTTCTCCTGGGGCCTTTACGTACCTCCTCTCTCTTATGCCCCGCCGGTCCTAAGCGCCAGCGCTACGCCCAGATCTAGACGGTCCTCCTCAGTGAACGACCACCGCGAGCTGAATCCCGCTGCTGATAGCCTTGTGAACTCCTACATTGAGTCCGGTCAGCAATTGACAACATTAAATTCTATTCAGTCGTGTCGTTTCCTGCAGAGGTGCTGCAAAGCAAAGCTACCCGGTCCACCATGTCGCGTAAGTTCGGAAGTCTGATGTTCCCGGTCGATTGCTCCACGCCGAGATCGCTCTCAACTGACATCATGGCTTTTTCTTTTCCCCATGCAATAGTATCCCCAGAAGCCCGCGATCAGTACATTCCGATCATTGATTCAATTCTGGCCAAAAGCGATTTGACCACCATCTCCTCAAAAACTATTCGCAACGGCCTTCAGGATGAGATCGGCTATGATCTTACCCCGCATAAGGTCTGCGCCCCCGATCTTTCATTATTGTCGCATATTGCTCTTTGCTCTTTTGATTCACGGCGGTAGACCTCAAATATAATGCTAATGTTATTTTCATTCATACAGCTTGCCATCAAGCAGCTTATCATGGAGCGCTTCGACGTCTGTGCGGCACAAAAGGGCATTCAAACCGCATCGGAGACACCTGCGACATCTGCTTCCACCAATGGCCATGGGAAAGACCACGACTCGGTGACTCCTGTTGAGCCATCCTCTCCGGCTCAATCTTCCATGTCGCAGAAACGCCAAGCGGAGAGTGAAGAGCGCTCGGACACTTCGAGCAAGACTCCTCCTATCAAGAAGAAGAAGCCCGACAATGATATCGATGCGGATGCCTTGTTCGCAGCCAAACTCCAGGCCGAGGAAAACATGCGTGCGCGCCAAACCCGCGGGGCCAGTACACGCAGAAGCCAGCCCGTGAAGAAGAAGCAGCCTACCAAAGCGAAGACGTCCAAGAAAGTGAAGGCTGAGGATGACTCGGAACTTGAATCGGGCTCGGACTCAGGAAAGAAGGTCAACAGATCTGGCGGGTTTCACGTATGCTGCAAACACTTCCTAATGGAGGTGACTGGTGCTAACGGCTGTCTAGAAACCCCTTACTCTTTCCCCGGCGCTTTCGGCTTTGTTGGACGGCGAGGTGACGGTATGGCTGTTATTCCCATTCTTGGACACGTAAGATATACTGACATTCGGCCAGCTCTCGCGACCACAGACAGTGAAGCGGCTTTGGCAATACATCCACGAACATGATCTTCAGGATCCCAATGACCGGCGACAAATTCGCTGTGACGACGCGATGCGTGCCGTGTTCAAGCAAGATCGCATACACATGTTCACGATGACCAAAATCCTCAGCCAGAATTTGTATAGTCCCGATGAATAACCGTTGGTATCTAGACGCGAACTCTTGCCTTCCGGACAAGGCAATCGCAGCGACCAAGTCGTTGCCTTAACGATTCCCCGACTTTTGCTTACTACACAGCATTTGGAACCCAGGCGCTAACTCTCTTTCATTTTGCTCCAAGACTTTATTATTTGCTTCTCATATTGATATTTTTTTTTTCGCACTTGTTGCTACTCTCATTGGCGAATGATTGCCTTATCTTTCCTTGTGTTGACCTGCTTTTCTCTCCAGCGGGAGTTGGTGCTGCCTTGTGGACAGGCGCGATGGATGTTGCTACCTAGAGATCGTCTTTGCTTATTGATTTGGCTACATACATCGCATCGCGTCATTGCATGATACATTCTCAGTTATCGCACGAGCAGCCAGTACAGTTGTAGCCGAAGGGGCCAGTAATATGCA